TGGTATTTGTTACTGCCTTTCTTTTGATCATAAGAAATTTCATGTGATTAGCTGTAAAAGGCTTATGTTAGACATGCTGTATTTCATGGAAACTGGGCTGAAAATTGTTTTAACCCACTTTCCTGCAGCCAGGTTTTAAACACATTTTATTTTTGATTTTCAAATTTAACTTGGCATATTAGCTAATTAGAAATTGCTTATTAAAAAGCAGAATCTATTTATCATTAAACATTTTAGAGAGGTTTCTTGCTCATTTGTTATCTTACCACAGCACAACTATAACAAGTCGTTAATTAAAAACAAGTAACTAATATTCACTGTATGTAAGAGATAAGAGAGATAAGATCTCTAAATATGCCAGGCCCATCTGTGTCTTCTTTTAAATAATAATGTGTTGATTAGAAACAATCTGGAAGTGGCTGGGACATAACATTTAATCTAAACTATCTCCATAATGTAAGCAAAGCATTAATCTTTATTAATCTTTCCAACCAAAGTCACAGAAGCCTTTTAAGAACATAAAAAATAGAAAGAGGTCATTTGGCCTGTCTTGTTCACATGGTTGCTAGAATTGATTCTTTCAAGTCATTTTCCAAAGGATTCCTAGATATCCCTTTCAGCAATACAGACGGCACCTCCTGAATTCTGTGTCATGTGAAGACCAGAGATTGTGCATAGCCCCGACAGTGTGAATTACAAAGAGAAGTTGATTAGGAGCATTTTGTTCCTGTAGTGAGTTCTAGACGGGAATGTGGCTGATATACAGAACAGCCAATCGTATCAATTTACAGTTGTCTTTTTGAGAAATACAGGTGTTATCCCAGTATACTTTCCATCAATACAATCTAACACAAGAAACACACATTGCCTCAATTGCTTCATTTAGCAAGTTAACAGAGCAGCAACCAGCCCACATTCCTTCTGAAATACAGTATATGATCATTTTGCCTTAGAGATGCTTCCAATAAGTGTGTCCCGAATAAGCTATAAATGGATTAAAAAAAGTAATGGAATAATTGTGGGTTTCCTATGAGTGCAATTCCACCATTTAATACAGTATATTGCACTAATTACTGTGGAAGAACATACATTATTTTAATAAAGAGATTAAGTTTCATTTTGAATATAACAAGCCACCTTTACATACAGTAACTAGCATACATAACTGTCTGGTTTGCATTCCAAAGAATATTCATTAATTTTATTTGTTTTCTTTTATTATCATCAGTATCCGTCTCTATATGTTGTACTAATTATAATTTTATAACACTGTTAGCACACAAGCGAAATTTCTGGAATGCCTCTAGAGGTCTGTGAAGAATTTTGTATTTAGGCTTATTGGTAAAAGAAACATCAAACAACTTGTAGTTGATTGTACAGTACATGGTGCTCCATGTGCTGAGAAAATGTCCATCTTATAAATTGGGGCAATGCTATATACCACAAAAGTGATAAAACACAACATTGTGGAATACGATTGGATATTTTTCATAGGTGTGAAAAACTATGGCAAGGAAAATCCATGCTTAACAACTATACTGTAAATCTTCTTCTGTTCACTATAAGGAAATTGAGTTTACTTAATTTATTTTACTTGACGATACTTGTATATTCCATATTCACTAATTAGAATATTAATTGGTTTTTTTTAAATGAATGTCTTGTTTTCCTTTTTTTACCATTCATCAGCACCTGTAACAGTTTTTGAAGATGTTACTGAGAACAGTATACAAAAATTACATTTCATACAAACCGCATTTTAAATGTCGCAATGTCAGAAATATTATCTATAAAATAAGAGGCACTGGGAATATACATAATGGATAGCTTACCTAATATAACTGGAGCATTAGTCATAAAAGAATCTGAGTAATTCAGTCAAACCCTAATTAAGATGGAATAAAGAGATAATTGAAATGAGATTGATTTATTGACTTCATCTGGCTGCCTGTGGAAATGACAGCCTCACTGTGAGGACAAGGCTATCAGAAACCCTCCTGTTACAATGATCCAGGGAGCTGCAGCAGGGGCAGTGATGGGCGTGAAGTGACAAAGCACAGGTGCAGTAGCTGATACATACAGTGCACACTAGTGAGCGGAAGGGGTTGAGGTTAGGGTCTGACCTGCTCCTGTTAAAAAAAAGCAGCATGTACCTGCATTAGAAAGCTTAATGTGAGTTTTCAAAGACAAGAAAATACATTTAGGCAGGAGCAGGGTTAAGAACAGTGTTGGGAGAAAGTTACTTTGAAAAAAGTAATCCATTGCAGGTTTGAAGTGACCTCTGTAAAGGATTAGTTATTACAATTAACAAGACATTTGGAGAAAATTAACTTAAGAAGACGTCAATTACAGTGACCTACAGTATATAATGGGTATACAATAAAAGTGTACAGTAGTAGGCAATAGTGTATGTTAAAAGCCATTTCCCCATAAGAATTATTATTAATAATAATTATTAAGTTATCCCTTACACCAGTTGCTTCTAACTGTAATGGACTGTCAGTTGAGTTTGTGTTCTGTTTCTAATTATTGACATGTATTACTAGTTTTGTATTCAAATTGTTCAAGATTTTTTCTTAACGTGATTTAGGGTATATCTGATTAAGTTTTCCTGAGGGATATATTTTGCTTAAAGTGAATTATACACAATGTGCACAATATTATCCTGAACTCAAACTGCAAGTTAGGGATACTTTTTGTATTTTCAACTACAGCCAAGCCCATTGTTTTAAGAACACTGCAAGTACTGCTTCAGCAGTAAACGCACAGAGAATTATAGCATGAACATCAGTGAGTGGGTTTGTGCACAGGGATATGATTGTGAAGAACTCTATAGAGACACTGCACATTTAATCAAACAGAAGTGCTGAAAAATCAGGTTGACAATAACTCGTGTTGACAGAGTCAGTCAAGTGCTGCACTACACAAACAGGACTCATAATGTTAGTGCGCTGAACACATTAGTAAGTGCTATTTGCTGTGATTTTGAAGGGATATAATATTTGCTCAGAGTTCCAAAGGCACTTTTTGTACACGAATATCTTGGTATATTCTGTACTTCAGGCACGTGTCTCTTTTTATTTAAAAAAATACGGAGAGTTAACACACCCTTTGGTAAGGTCAGTATTAGAAAACATCTATTCTCCTTGCTGTCATTTCACCAAACATACTTTAAAGCCTGAATGTTTTAGACATTATTGCTTGAATTCAGATCATTGTACAAGACACAGATCTCTCTACACTGAGCAAACATATGATCTGGTGGTTATGGGTCACAAGGGAATCCTACTCCTTTAATTCCCTGTGTCTGTTGTAATGGCTAACAACCATGCCACTCATGTATGTCAATAAAGCCATTTAATCCATTAATTTTTTAGACATTATATCCAAAATAGGGGGCTGGTGGAGCCAGACCCTATCCCAGTAAGCAATGGCGCAAGGCAGGATACCCCCTGGATCGAATACTCATCCATCACACGGGCCATTTAATCTCACATGAAAAAGGTGCCAAGTGTTTGAGTCTTAATTGTTGTTACAACTACTGAAATACTTTAAAAAACATTTGGTGACAACTACAGTATATGATGGAGTTGCCCATTCCAATTATTTGTCACAATTTAAACTTGCATATACTGTATAGTATACATAAAGAGTATAGTATACTGTATAGTACTTCACTGGAACTAATAAACTAAGATTAGTTACCGCAGTCAGGAAGTGCATATCCTAGCCTTGCTTCACCATCAATGGGCATAAATCTAGCCATTAATGTAAACAAAGTTAAATACACCCTGGGATACTGCACCATTAAAAGCATACTGGCCATCACACAAATATTTCAGCTGGCATAATGAAATCAGAGCAACGATGGAAAAAATATTTTATTCTAAAGCAGAAAACCTTTGAAAGGAATGAAAGTATCAATATCAGAAAGAAGTAGAAAGAAAGTGAACATCTTGACAAGGTGTTCTATGGGAAGAGAGAGAATAGGCACTGATGAAAAACATGAAAATGCAGACAGACTACACCAACACATTGTCAGCAGAAAGCAGAAAAATCATTGTTAACTTGTGTTATGCTTTTTTAATCCAATTGGAAATGTAATTGGAACACTTAAATAGATTTGAGAAATACTTTGGGAAAACGTATTTAAGATGTGTGTCAACAATCTGTTCTAATTCCTTTACTTAGAGCATCTCAAGTTTTTTTTATGGTGCTAAAAGCCAGTGCCAGTTCTACTGCATCTACTCCATCTATCAGTGATGGCTCAGACCACCACTCTAGACTCCAGGAAAAAACCTTTCGTAAGCCAATGTGAGATGAGTTTTCATTCTCTAAAGCTTATTTTAATAAATAATGAGTTTTCTAGGCACAAGCTGTAAAATTAAAATAGCAGTGACAGCTCTGGTTTGCAGCCAAGAGAAGGAACAACTCTTGTTTTCAGTTTTCTTGTTGACTTAATGAAATGGTGCAAGCAGAAAAAAAAAAATGAATATTTTAAAAATAGATTCACAGACAAATCTGAATTGATGCATATTGGCAAACTGATATAAAGTCTTCATTGACTTCAATTATGTTGGAAATGGGTAAAAATGGCACTTTTAGATAGCATGATGTTATATTTCTTTCTTATTTGATACCATTCTATTTTAAGGATGCAGTAATTACTAATTAATAAAGCTCTGACTGCACCTTATCATAGTCATATTCCTGAGGGATTGTCATGTGCAAGAGCTTTTTTTGTGCTAGCTCTGTGCCGAAAAAACAGTCCAAGTACAGAAAGGGAAATTGAGTCAGTTCATTTTATGGGAGCAAATCCAACAGTATAAGAAATGATAACTTTAAAATAAAATTACCATCTACAGACTAAACATGAGTCAGCTACAATCACATGTACAGTATAGTTACTTACGGGAAGATTCACAGCTTTTAAATAAATATGCTTTTTTTACCTCTACAGTGCAACCGCCTCATGTAAGAGAAGTTAAAATCGGAGGTACCTGCTGTGTCTCCAAATGGCTTAGGAGGTTTGATGGTCTCTCCAAAACTAACACTGGACTGTGTTGTGGTCAGTTTCCTCGTCGTGGTCACCACCGGAGGGCTTTTTGGCGTATTTCTGGGACTCTTTGTGGTCACGGTGGTGGTGATGATCGTTGCAGCGGTGGCTGTCGGGGGTTTGCGAGCCACTGTGGAGTTTGGAACCGGCTTGTCGCCATTCTCCCCCGTGCTTGTGTCATCTCCCCCCGTCGGTCCCCAATCGATAAATCCAGGCACCGTCGTGGTCCTCCCTTCCGGATAATGCTCATAATCCCCCCATTTCACTTGCCTCCTCGGCCTTTTCAAAAAGGTCACTTTATCCGAGGTTCGCTCCACAGGAGAGCCCACAGAGTCCAACAGCTCAGTGGAAGAATATGTAGACTGGCACTCTTTACAAAGCATGCCTTTATGCATTGGTCCCCTGTGTTTGTGACTTCTTAACAGCAGGCCCTTGCCCACTTTTCCCAGGTGCATCCCAGGACGAGAAGCCCTCTGCCACCACAGGCTTGGGATCTTCCAGTGCAGCCTGTTCTGCGCATCCCACAGGGGGCTGTGGCCCAGTCTGTGTCGAGGCAAGGGCTTTGATATGAGTTTGAATCCCGCACCTTGCGTGACAGGGCTACAGGAAGAGAAATCCATGGTAAGATGGATCATGGCAAGAAGAATCCATGCGTGCCGTCCAGTTGAGCCTCCGGGTCGTATAGGAGACATTGAACTGAAAAAAACAGAAACAAGGAAAATTGCAGGTTAGCCACCTTGCTTAAACATGTACAGGTCAGTTTCAATCTTTCATATCCTTCTTGCTGTGTTGCTGGTTTGTCTTTTTCTTCTTCTCCTGTGCAGTCTGAATTGGACATTGAAAACAGTTCATGCTGACGGCAGGCTGGACTGATATTTGTCTTTCTGTGCTTGTTTTATTTCTATTAGTTTAAAAAAAATACATTTAAGTATTGCAAGCAAATGCATCCCCAAAACATAGAGGAAGTGTTTTTTTTAAAATTAATTGTCTTAGTATTTTTAATTTGAAGTTAAAAAGTTAAAAAGGTTGAGTAGGTTATTGGTATAAAGTAGACTAATACAGTCACTTCCATTCTTGCATAGCCTAAGGTGGGAGGATGTTAGCAAAAGTTAATGCTCTCAATCATCATGACAATTGATTTATAATTTCTGCTGTATGTCTATAGTGATGCTTTCTCGTTACCCCAGCTTATCTATGGGAAATGCAAAATGCATCAGCCAACAGGGAAAATATTTTATGTAATTTGGCTTCACTCAGATTTTCTCCAAGTAAGACGTTATTTTTAGATCCTTTAATTATTATCATTATTATTAATATTTCAACTGCAGGGAGCACAATTATTGTACTCAATGACCTAAAAAGCTGCACCATTTCTTTCCTCAATTATGATATGGAAGCAAATACTAACGACATTATATCCACTTAAAAATAGTAACAGATTCTTACATACACTTTTAAACTATGTATATTGTCTAGTTTCAATGCACTAGGAGTATGTTCAAGAAAGCAACAAGTTGTTTTTCACACTTAATATTAAATGCACTATAACAATATTGTTCTAAACTGGTTTCATTGCTGATATACTTTAACATAGGTGAAATACTCTATTTACAAACACTGTACTTTGCAATTACTGCACCCTAAGCTAATGTACTGCATCCAATTACAGTTCTTATTAATGATTTTTACAGGCAATCGAAAGCATGAAGGTAACATTTTGAACAGATCATATATTGCACAGATTCACAACACAGCTTTTCACCTGCTTTTTTTTTCCAGATGTCATGCAAACCATTGTTGTGTCCTTGATCCTGACAATTAACTCTAGCTCCAATTCATTTATACTTCAAAAGCTATTTTGATGTCCTAGATTAAAACTCTTGTGTATTCCAGCTTGCAGCATGGCCTATAATATCCCTTGAGACACAAGAAAGCAGACATGAGCTCCATCTCAATGTACATTGGTCTGCTGGCTGGATTATTTAAAAGTCATTGGTCTGAACTGTCAGAATAGGGTAGGTTTACACAGTTAGATATGGAGACTGAATAAACAAAATAGGAAACCCATTCTAAATCAGGGCATTACACAACAAAATTAAAAAGATGCATTAACTTTAAACTAAAATCTTAGAATTATCTTTCTTTTTCCTTTGTGATTTTCACTGATACATTTACAGGAAGTTGCTTATTCCTGGCCACTATGGTGTGCACCAGGAGTCTATCCTAGAATCACATGGTGCAAGGTATGACTATACCCTATACCAACTCATGCAGGGCACACACAGCCAGTACAGAGACAGCCAGTGTGTCTTTAAAGCACCCAGGAATACCCCATAACAACACAGAACATTTGTGTAAGCATCTGTGCAATCTCTACTCAGTAAAATCTAGGCTTAGGACAGTAATACATCTTAACACAAAATAATGCTTCCCTGGGTACCATATCACCATTATTGGTTTTGTTAAGTTCATTTAATCTATTTTTTAGCCCCCAAAAGGTTTGTCATTTATTTTCATTTAGAAAAAGAATTTAGAAAGAAAGCCTAATGCTACAGTACTTTATATCATCTTTCCAATGGTCCTTGTGAATGAGAAAATGTATTACAATTAGTTTTAGATCCTGGTATTAAATAAAACCTTACAATAAGAATGGCTGACAAAACATATTTATCTAAAAAGTAAACATAAGGAAGGTTGAATAAACATATTGGTAAGATGCATTTACCTTACATGTTACACAATTATTGCATGTCTAGACGTTAATGGCACACAACTGCAAAATTAAATGTTTTCATAACTGTAGTGAATTGATATTTAGCCAGTGTCTCTCTCAAACAATCAGGAATCATTGCTTTTAAAGCACTACTCAGCCAATGAAACAGACCTCTAGGTTCTTTCCTACTTCATTATTGAAAATAGGGAACAATAACTGCAGAATTGATCTCTAAACTGCTCCTGTCTGGTAAACCCTTAGTGAAGCAGAAATATCGATCAATTCATGGGATTATACTGAGAGAAACATCTTTATTAGAGGAAATCTTGTAATCTTCATTGTCCTTGAACAATTCAAGCTCAAGGGCTAGTCTAAACGTCTGATCAACAATGCATACAGATGACATTAAATACACTACATACAAAGAAAACAATGCATCCAGCATACAAAATCCATACCGGATTCTTACCAGAATCCATGATCCTATACAGTAAGCATTAAACTGAAAAGCCAGAATCCATCACTGTTTACAGGTCATCTTCAATTATAAATTCATAAAGACTTTTAACAGTTGAAAGTCTGTTTTTCCATTTTAGTAAGCAATTGGTTCATTAACATACTGTAGGCATGGACAGTTCCGGCTGTGAAAACAAGCATGGCGTCCATTTTTGTTCCAAAGCGTCTCTAAATTACTTCTCATCTGTATACAGTATTGACTTACAGTATGAGAGGCCTATATGTGGTGCTCTCTGTGCCCAGAATCAGGACTGGCCAATCCCCCAACATGGTATTCAATTATACTGTAGGTTGAAAATTATAGTCTTAAACTTCTTAAACTTCTATCTTAAACCAGAGACAAATCAGATGAAATGACGTTTCATCAGATTAAATGATTAATAGCTAAATTAACAAACAATATTATAGGGGAACTGCAGCAACTTTTACTTGATTACAACATTGAGCCAAAGGAATTTTCTACATAAGATACTAGATCTTCTGATGAAGTTAAGTCTGTACTGGTCTATAATCTAAATCAAATCACAGTCAAAATGTGATTTGAGATATTAAGTAACATCAATGTAAGCATGATTACCTAAAGCATTTGCATGTCACATGTGCTTCTTGCTAAACTGAGACAGCAGAGATGCTTTAGACTGTCCAGGGAGTATTCCATTGTTGTCCACACGGTAGCTCTGTTCTTAACCTTTATTACTACAGTGATATGAAATTAGATTCTTAAACTACTGAGGTTCCCAGACATTCATTTTCCTTTAGGGGCACTTCTGAAGGTCAAAAGGGTTCTTGGATTAGCGAGATTCGTTTCTGCATCCCAAGAAAGAGACAGCCATGAGTATCAGAGTGCGTGAAGTCGACTACCTGCCCCCACACTGCTGTTGCATTTTGGCATCCTCTGAATTTGTCCTGGAAAAATCTGTTGATTTACAGTTTGTAAGATGCTTGTGTAAGAAACTTAGCTGTGATCTGAAGGCGGTTCAAGTAAAGCAAACAAAACTGTTCAAAATCTGAGTAACAGATGAGATCGCCAAAATCCGAGTCAAGGTGCCATCTGATTTCTTTTAGAATTTGTATTGAATTGTCTGCCCTGAATTCACTTTCTCGTCTTGTCTATCTAAATCCAACTTTGAAAATGACTGCTTAGAATGACTTTTATTATTTGTGAGGATTCTGAAACCTGAACCAAATCAGACAGATTCAGATCCATTAACTACACTGTGCACCTCATTCCTGAGGGACCAGATATTCATTCTTTAAAATTTCCAGGACAGCTGTTTGCATGCACTATGGTGACTTAATTTCCAATGATTTATTAACATTATTAATGGTGTCATAAACTGTTGTAAAAAATGTTACAAGCATACAAGCACCTAACCCTAGGATTAGGGATAGAATATCACCTATGTTCTGGTCTGAAGTAGAGTTTTTATGCCTACATTCACTTAATGTACATTAAAGGTAGGTTATTATCACAGTACAGTACTAGTACTGTATGTTATCTTATTAATACTTTAGAAATATGCTTCATTTATAAAATATTTCAAATTGGATCTTGAAACCTGGAATTGTGACTTATTATCAGTTATTTATGACAGCCAGATAAGTTTCATAGTTCCCCCTAGTTCAGTACTGTCCATTGGACATGCATAGTGCACACTCTCACTACTGGAAAGCAGCACTGCAAGACCTGCCATAATCCCAATAGCAATACAATGAAGACCAGGCTTGTAAAGTTATCAATCTGACATTAACAATAGGCAGGAAGGTTTTGTTTTGTACCTGTTTAACTCCTTTGGGTCCCTACTGTTTGTCACCAACTGCAGAAGAACAAAGTGGAGGTCAATACAAGTGTTGTACATTCATCACTGGGTGATTCATCTTCCAGTCACAACACTATTGCACACTCATGCCTCCCATGTAACGGAGGAGAGACGGGGACTAAAAAGCAGTGGGACCTGCTAGGTGGCAAACAAGCAGCAATCATGCAGAAGGTCCTGGAATAATCTTGGGGAAAAGCTTAATCCTGCTGGGAATCGAGCCCCAGTCGCGGGCTTGCCAGTGAGTGACCTCACCTGGAAGGGCCCAGTCCTGCTCACACCCTGAGTCCCCATCACCCTTAGTGGGGTATCTGATACAGTACAACATTTCACACCGTTTCAGGACAGTACAATTAAAAGACTAAACAGATATCAAAAGAAGCCCATGTCTTTTGAGACAAAACTTCCTAAAGGGATAATTGTCTTTTTAAATTGACTAGTGTGGATCAAACACTGCGAAAGTGCTATTCTATGCTACTCACTAGCAGATTTGATCTCAAGGATCTACTGTATGTTTTTTGAATTGCATGCATTTTCATACAACTTCTTTCCTCGGTGACAAAGAGATTTTCACTACAACGAAGACACATCCTTCACAGCTGAATGAAAGACACCATCCGCATAGCATGACCGCCCACTCCTGCCTCCCA